AGAGGCAGGTGGATCTTTGTGAGTTTGAAGCCAGCCTGGTCTACATAGTGAGTTCCAGGACAGCTGGGGCTACAGGGAGACCCTGTCTCAAAAAGACAAAACAACAACAAAAATATATACATATTTTTTAAAAGGAATATAAAGATGGTTTTAGGGGGCTGGAGAGATGGCTCAGCGGTGGGGAACACTGGTTGTTCTTGCAGAAGACCCAGGTTCATACACATAAAATAAAATAGTAATATTTTTTTTAAAAAGATGGTTTTAGAATATATTTTTTTAATACTTTATTTTTGTGTATGCATGCACTGCCTGCATGTAGGTAAGTGCACCCATGTCGTGCAATGCCTGCGGAGGACAGAAGAGGCTGTCGGATCCCCTGGGACTGGAGTTACGGACAGGGGTTAGCTGCCATGTGGGTGCTGGGATTCGAACCCAGGTCTTCTGCAAGAACAGCCAGTGTTCTTAACCGCTGAGCCATCTCTCCAGCCCCGGTCTTAGAATATATTTTAAAAACAGAATTAAAATGACTCACACATGTGCATGATGTATAATAGAAATCAAGAAGTTCTAAATTTTGATCCTTCCTGACCTGGAGAGACTGGTAAAGACATTAAGTTCAGTTAGGAAGACTAGGAAGAAATGATTTGGGAGATCAAAAATTCCATTCAGAGCCAAGCATGATACTGTATGCCTTTGATCTCAGCACTCAGAAGACAGATAGGTAGATCTTGTGAGTTCGAAGCAGGCTTGGTCTACATAGTGAATTCCAGGCCACTCGGGGCTACATGGTAATACTTTGTCTCATAAAACAAAGTTCTATTCAGAACATGTTAAGTTTTAAGCACCCAATTTCCACCTAAGTGGAAAGACTAATCAATTAGGAGGAGAAGATATGAAGGGTATCAGGAATGGAAATATAAATGTGGTAATAGGCATAGTACTGTAATTAGATGCTATAAAAAAAAAAAAAAAACCCACAATGTGAATGAACTTGCCCAGAATAAATGTGAGAATACCAGAGATTGTTAGCAACAATCCCTAACAAATTACCAATATACAAATTGAGAAGCTGCCAAAGGAGGCATAAATCAGAAGCAGGAAGTCAAGGGAGCCTGGTGATGAATGCTACTTTATTTTTATTTAAACAAATTTTTAAAAAATTTTTATACAAGTGTTTTGCTTCCATGTAAGTGCACCATGCCCATGCAATGCCTGTGGAGGCCAGAGATCCCCTGGAACTTGAGTTAGACAGTTGTTAGCCACTATGTGGGTGCTAGTAATCAAACCCAGGTCCTCTACAAGAGCAGTGGCCAGTGCTGGGCCATTTCTCCAGCCCTTGCTATTTTAAAAAAAGAAATGTTCAGGGCTGGAGAGATGGCTCAGTGGTTAAGAATTCTGGTTGTTCTTGCAGAAGACCTGGGTTCGAATCCCAGCACCCACATGGCAGCTAACAACTGTCTATAACTTCAGTTCCAGGGGATCCGACAGTCTCCTCTGACCTCCGCGGGCATTGCATGACACGGGTGCACTTACCTACATATTACAATACATGCAATACATGCATACACATAAAATAAAAATAAATATTTTTTAAAAAAAGGAATGTTCAGTAAGTGTCCTTTCTAGAAATTTACAACACACATTAGCATATTGTTCTAGTTACTTTCTATTGCTGTGATAAAAACGCTGACCAAAACCAGCTTGGGGAGGAAAGAGTTTCACTTACAGTTCAGTCCATCATCAAGGGAAGCTTTGAGTGTTTTGTCTGCATGCATGCAAGTGCATCTGTGTTGTGCAATGCCTGAGGTCAGAAGATGGCATAGGATCCCCTAGAACTGGAGTTACATATGGTTGTTAGCCACCATGTGGGTGCTGGGAAGTGAACCTAGGTCCTCTACAAGAGCAGCCAGAACTCTAAAACTGCTGAGCCATCTCTCCAGCCGAGATGAATACCACCTTCTTGAGCTGCTTACCAGCATAGCCAGCTACTGGGTAGCTCCACTTGGAAATTTCAGTTTCATATTTCAATAAATAGCACATCTATCCAATAGAGAAACTTGACTGTCTTCCACTATCACCTAACTAAATCCTGTCAAATTTCCTCATTTCTCCAATCCTAGTTATTTCCTTTCTTTGACATCTGAGCTGAGGTCAATATAATCTTGTACCTAGGTTACAGAAGTCTCCTGTTCAGCCTTTCCCTAACCCAGTATAAATCATTTCAATTGATACCACTCAAATGAGAATGTCATTCCCAATTTAATGGGGCCTTGTAATGTATTACTTATTGTATATATGCATGTGTGTGGGTACACACATCCATGCAGCATGCGAGCAAAGGACAATTTCCAAGAGATGGTTCTCTTCTTCTACCAAGTGGGTTCTGGGAATTGAACTCAGGTTGTCAGTCTTGGCTGCATCCCATACCCCACCATCCACAATCTTGTGTGACAATCTCATATAGCCCAAACCAGCCTCAATTTCAATGTGCAACTGAGAATGACTCAGCCTCTGATCCTCCCACCTCTACCTCCCAAGTGCTGGAATTACAGGCCTATGCCACCATGGCCAGCCTCCTCCCACTTTTAAAAATAGCTTATGGGGGCTGGAGAGATGGCTCAGTGGTTAAGAACACTGGCTGTTCTTGCAGAAGACCCAGGTTTGAAACCCAGCACCCACATGGCAGCTAAGAACTGTCCATAACTCCAGTCCCAATGGATCTGACAGCCTCTTCTGTCCTCCACGGGCATTGCACAACACGGGTACACTTACCTACATGTAGGCAATACACGCATACACATAAAATAAAAAATAAAAATTTTTTACAAAGTTTAAAAAAATATAGCTTATGGAGTATAGTGCAAGAGGGCAGTAACTGTACTGTTCTGCAGCTTTAAAAAAAAAGATGGGTGTGGTGGTGCACGCCTTTAATCAGGAGGCAGAAGCAGGCAGATCTCTGTGAGTCCCAGGCCAGCCTGGGCTACATATCGAGTTCCAGGCCAGCTGGGGCTAGAGACCTTGTCTCAAAAAGACCGAAAAAAAAAAAAATTATTTTTATTATGTGTATGTGTGTATGCCCTCAGATGTCAGAGGTTCTCAAATTCCCTGGAGCTGGAGTTACAGGCAACCTGTTGTGAGCTGCCTGACTTGGATTACTGGGAACTGAGCTAGGTCTGAAAGTGCAATACCACACTCTTAACTGCTAAGCCATCTCTCCAGAATTTGTTTTCAGGTTTTAACAACTATGCATTTGGAGATAAGTGCAAAATGTAACGCAAAGGCCTTAAAGAGCTTATTTACCTCTTCTCTCCTCCATGTCACCATGAATTCATCCCTTTGGACACTGAACTACATACAACTCTCTTAAGTTGCAGAATTTGCTTACTTTTAAGACAGGGTCTCATGAAGACTGGTCTCAAACTCACTATGTAGCCAAGGAAGGCTTTGAACCTTAAACATCACAAACCAAGATTCATTTTTTATGTGTATGTGTCTATGTGAGTGTACGCCATATGTATGGGCACCTACAGAAGCCAGAAAAGGGCATTTGATTTTCTGGAGTTACAGGCAACTGTGAACAATCCAACATGGGTGCCAGGAACCAAACTCATGTCCTTTGGAAGAACAGCAAGTGTTCTGTAGTGGTTTCAATGAGGAATGTCCCCCACAGGCTCATGTATTTGAATACCTGGTCCCTGGTCGCTGGCACTAGGGAGGTTATGGAACTATTAGGAAAAGGAGCTTTTCTGGAAGAAGTACATCACTAGGGGGGGTTGGGGGTTTGAGTTTATATGGCCTTGTCTACTTCTAGTTCACTCTCTGCTTTTGAGGTTGAGATATGACAGCCAGCTTCCTGCTCTGGCTATCTGCTGCAATGCTTCCCCTACCATTACGGACTTTCCCTCTGGAACCCTATGACAAAATAAACTCTTTCTTCTTTAAGTTGCCTTTGGTCACAGTGTTTACCATAACAGAAAAGTAGCTAATACATGCTCTTACCACCTAAGCCGTCTCTCCAGCCTACTGCCCATCTCTTAAGTGCTTGAATTATATTAGTTTGCAATGCTACCACACCTGGCCTCACCTTCTTATATTAACTCTTAATTTGTTCATGTCATCTAGTTTCCTTAAAGGAACACCATTTCTTCCACCCACATGGCAGCTAACAACTGTCTGTAATTCTAGTCTTAGAAAAGGCTGATGTCCTTTTCTGGCTTCCATGGGCACTGCATGCACGTGGTACACTTGGATACATACAGACAACACTCATACACATTAAATAAACATAAAAATTTTAAAAATTTAAAAAAAGAACACACTCAAGTTATCTTGTTTTTTACCCTTATTGGAGCACTTATCAAACTGTGCTATTGATTTGGGCATCAACATATCTAGCATCTAATAGAACATCTCACCCATAGTAAAGATAATTCTGTAATGTAGCAAATATGCACATTTGGTATCTTAACTATGGCCTGTCAAATCCTTACTCTTCCTACTCACACCTCAGAATTCGCTATTCCCAGCATCTAGAACATTGCCCTAAATAGTCCAATCACTTGGTGAACTTAATCTAAATAAATATTCTCAGCACCAACTCCCTACATCTCACCAAGTTCTGACCCACCACACACCTCAGGTGAGGCCTAGAAATCTGAAATTAACAAGCTTCTCAGGTGACTCTGACTCCCAGTTATTCCTGAGAATTGCTATTCTAAATGAAGCAGGAACTCAATAAATGTTATTGGAAACAATTAATTTACTGAGAATTCATTTTCTAACTCATTAAGAGTTTGCCGTAACTGAATCCTGAATGTAACAGAACAATGCACTAAATGTCCACAAAAAACAAGCAGCTTTTATTGTAGTATTACAAAACACTTTCCATTTTGGCAATATTTTACAACGCACTTAGCTTTAAGGTTTGGGAAAGAGAGGTCGGAAACTAAAAAGGAAAATTTCAACAGACAGTTCTAAAAGGAAAATTGTTCCCAGCCCTCCCACCCAAATAAAAATCCAAATGTCAATTTCACTACCCAAGAAGAGGCCATGAGGAAAGCAGCAGGCAAAACTCTGACAGTCTCACTATGGATCATGTCAGAGACAAAGGAACATTGAAAACAGTCATCAGTACGGTCGGTTGCGCTGATCATTTCTGTAGTCGTTTCTAGGAATGAAAAATAAAGAACCAAGCTAAATTCTATTTTCTTACCAATTGAACATCAGACATTTCTTCAGAGTGCTGGTTGTCTACAACAGCTAGAAAATTTCTACAAGGCTGACAATATACTGTATTTCTACATTCCTAGAAAGTACACTTAATAAATGAAAATTTATTAGCTTCAAGACAAAGTTCCTTAAAAAAGCTTTGCTATTCACTAACTCTTTAGACATTTTCCACATAGCCCCAAAATATGAAAATACTGTGCCAATTCCAGACTCTAAATAGAACAGGGGCATAGAGGAATAAGGAATGCATTCATGCATTGTTCTGCATTTGTCATTATGCATGTGACCCTGGAAAACTTACTAAATGTCTGACTCTATCAGGGAGTTGACAGAAGGACCGAACTAAAGTTGTATAAAGATGCTACACTATTTGCCACAGAGCAACAAGTATAATAGACAGTAATTAGGCTATCAGTAATAGCTAATAATTAGACAGTGCTTTCCATGGGCAAGCAACTTTTATAATCAATAAAACTTTACAAATGAGGTTATTATTTGCTCTATTGTATAGATCAGACTACTGATGTTCTAAAGAGCTATATAATGTGCCCAAGGTCACTGAGGTAGTAAGTGGTGGAGCAAAAACTAAACAATTTGACTTTAAACTCTTAGTCAAATACTATACAAATTCTCACTAGCTTATACTACCCTCTAGCAATTAGAGCCTTAGTATAATAAGTTATATCACTGGCTCTTCCATTTTATTCTGACCCCACACAACTGATATGTACATCACACACCTATCACCAGTGGATTTTACCTAGAAAAGGTAGCAGAATCTCTGAGTAACAACTGCAGGGAGGCCTACAGGGTTTGAAAATCCTTCTCTTTCTTAGATTAAGAACTCTTAATGTATAGTCTCAAGTTATTTCTCAATCCCAATTTTCTTTAGCCATGAGAGAAATAGAGACAAACATAAATATTTATGAATATTTTCAAAATGAAAATAAATTTTAGAATTTTTTTAAGCAAGGAATTAAATGAAAGATGTTAATGGTATTAAAAAGGAGACAAAAACAGTTCAAATCCTAAAATCTAAAAGTAGTGAAGGAAAAAAGTTCAGAAGTACATGTGAATGCTCACCTTCCTCCCATTTTGCCTCCATAGCCACCTCGATCTCCTCCATAGCCACCTCGGTCTCCTCCATAGCCCCCACCTCGGTCTCCTCCATAGCCACCACCACTCCTGTCTCCTCCGTAGCCTCCACTTCGGTCTCCACCATAGCCGCCGCTGCCACCACCGCCACCACCACCACCACCACCGCCACCACCACGGTCTCCTCCATAGCCTCCCCGGTTTCGGTCTCCTCCATAGCCTCCCCGATCTCCTCCATAGCCTCCCCGATCTCCTCCATAGCCGCCCCCTCTATCCCCACCATAGCCTCCTTGATCTCCTCCATAGCCGCCTCCTCGGTCTCCTCCATAGCCCCCTCCTCTATCCCCACCATAGCCACCCCCACTTCTGTCTCCACCATAACCACCCCCACTTCTATCTCCACTATAGCCACTGCCACCACTTCTGTCTCCACCATAGCCACCGCCCCCACTTCTATCCCCACCATAGCCACCTCGGTCTCCACCTCTGCCCCCACGACCTCTGTAGCCCCTTTCTCCACCGTAGCCTCTCCCCCGGAAATCTGCAAGGTAAAAATGCAAACCAATGAGGGCAGCACAGTAATGTAAAGCCTCCCCAACACTATCTAGAAGATAAACACTGTAAAGGGATAACCAAAGAAGAGCTAGCCTACCTCCCCCTGAGGGACGAGAGTCCTCTGGTCTAGGCTCATTGCACTGATTACAGGAATTCCTTCGAGCAAAGTTCATATTTCCACATGACCTGAAGGAGGAAAGTAAAATGATCTTAGTTTCCAATAGATCTACAACCCCTTCACCCTCCAACCCCAACCTCACCTCTACACCCACCAAAGAAAATGAGAGACTTACGGATTAGGGCAAACCCAGTCCCCATTCTTAGGGTCTCCGCCTCTCCCTTGAAAGCCTCCACGGCCTCTATATCCTCCACGGCCTGGAGGGTGGGAGGTAAGGTAGAAATGAAAAGTCAGCAGCAGACATTAACAATATATAGGCAAAACACCAGATGAAAGAAATAAAAATGATCATTAATACCTTCAAAATTAACTCCATTATAACAAGACTGTAATTCCTTAAGATTTTACTTAAGAAATAGAGTAAATTTAAGAATGTACCTGATAGCCAGGGGTGGTGATGCATGCCTTTAATCCCAACACTCAGGAGGCAGAGGCAGGTGGATCTCTGCTAGCCTGGTCTACAGAGCGAGTTCCAGGCCAGCTGGGGCTACAGGAAGACCCCGTCTCAAAAGAGACCAAAAAAATAAAAAAAGAATGGACCTGATACACATTACAGTACAAAACCTTCAAAGTCTTCTTTTTATCATAATACTTTATATAGTTTGAGAATTTCAGTTATAAAGATAAGTGACAAGGTAAATTTCAAACTTGAGGAAATGAACCCAATTAAAAAAACAAAATTAGCCGGGCGTGGTGGCATATACCTTTACACCTTTAATCCCAGCACTCGGGAGGCAGAGGCAGGAGGATATCTGTGAGTTCAAAGCCAGGCTGATCTACATAGCGAGTTCCAGGACAGCTGGGGCTACAGGGAGACCCTGTCTCAAAAAAGACCAAAAAAACCCCACCAAAAACAAAAAAACAAAATTAAGACTCTGCATCAAGGAGCCTAAAAATTGGGTCAGGGCCAGGTGTGGTGGCACACGCCTTTAATCCCAGCACTTGGGAAGCAGAGGCAGGCGGATCTCTGTGAGTTCAATGCCAGCCTGGGCTACATAGTAAGTTCCAGGACAGCTAGGGCTACAGGGAGACCATGTCTCAAAAAGACCGAAAGAAAAAAAAAAAATTGGGTCAGATGGGTCAATGAGGAGGCTTGGTGGATAAAGGTGTTTGGCTTACAACTTGAGCCTGACAACTTGAGCTTGATCCCTAGGACCTACATGGTGGAAGGAGAGAATCAATTCACACAAGTTGTCTTCTGGCCTTCACACATATGTCATGATATGCATGTGTACACACATAAATATTTTTTAAAAAACTGGGCCCAGCACTCAGAAGGCAGAGATAGGCAGATCTCTGAATCTGAGGTCAGCCTGGTCAACATAGTAAGCTCCAGGCCAGCTGGGGCTACAGGGAGACCCTGTCTCAAAAACAAACAAAAAAATAAAAATAAAAAATAAAAAACTGGGCCAGTGTTGGCACACCTAATCGTTTAAACAACTGTCCCAGCATTCCATAAACAACTGCTAAAGAGTTTTCCTGAAGAAAATAACCTTTTCCAGATACTTCCTTAGATATTATACCACCTAATACAACTTAGCTATCATTAACATTCTCATTTTTTTAAAATGCAAGGCAAAAAACCTAGGGAGAAAAAAGGGTAGTAAGCAAGTTCATGCAAGCAGGGACAGAATGCAAACTCAAACTTTGTGTATAGTATCTATAGACCTATAGTATAGGTCTTGTTTATTATTTATTTATGCAGCATGGTGATCAATGTAAGTATCTTACCTCGTCGTCCACCTCCACTTCCACCTCCTCTCATGAATTCAGGCCTTCTGGTAGCAAAAGACACTTTAATGATGTTTCCATGAAATTCTTTTCCTAAGGGGGAAATATAAATCTGAAGCCAAGCATAGTGGTATACAGCTATAATCTCAGCACTCAAGAGGGTAAAGCTGAGGTAGGAGGATCAGTAAAACTTCAAAGGCAATCCTAGCTTAGGCTAGACAGCAAACTTTTTCTCCAAAAACCAAAAAGGAAGGAAGGGAGAAATAAGGAAGGGAGGGAGAGGGGAAGGGAGAACAGGAAGACGGTTTTGAATAAATGCTATAATCCCAGATCATAACTCTATCTCCCAACAAAACTATAAGGCTGACTTGGAAATTTTATTTTCAAAAGAATAACATGTCCCCACAGAATTCAAATATACTAGTGTTCTGTGTTCCAAAGAGTGCTAAAACATAACCCATAATCTACTTAATAGAGCAGATTGGTCATGAGGCGACTGTTATTTCTTACTAAACTTTAAAAAAAAAAAAGAAAAAGAAATGGAGCTAGAGTTGGCTCAGTGGTTAAGGGTGCTTGCTGCTCTTGCAGGAGCCAAGTTTGGTTCCCAACACCCAAAGGGCAGTAAACAACTGTAACTCCAGTTCTAAGAGATCTGATGATGCCCTCTTGTGGCCTTCACAGGCATTATACATTACAGGTGCACTTAAATAACATGGAAGCAAAACACTCAAACACATAAATGCTTAAAAAGATTTTTAAGGGGCTGCAGAGATGGCTCAGCAGTTAAGAACACTAACTGTTCTTGCAGAAGACCCAGGTTCGAATCCCAGCACCCACATGGCAGCTAACAACCGTCTGTAACTCCAGTTCCAGGGGATCCAACAGCCTCTTCTGTCCTCCACAGGCATTACACAACACAGGTGTATTTACTTACATGCAGGGATAAAACTCATACACGTAAAAGTAATAAAAAATTGTTTTTAAAAAAGTTTTTTAAGCTGGGCGTGGTGGCGCACACCTTTAATCCCAGCACTCGGGAGGCAGAGGCAGGCGGATCTCTGTGAGTTCAAGGCGAGCCTGGTCTACAGAGTGAGCTCCAGGACAGCTGGGGCTACAGGGAGACCCTGTCTCAAAAAAAAACCCAACAAAAAAAAGTTTTTTAAACATAGACATCTAGTACTTTTAATAATAAGTGGAGGTAAAGGCTTTTTTCTAGTATTGAGGATTGCTCTCCTAGGGCCTCATGCATGCTAGGCAAGCACTCTACCACTAAGCTGTATCCCCATTACCACATATAATATTTTTATATGAAGAACTAATTTTTAGAATATCTCATGGTGTTGGAGAAATGGCTCAGCGGTTAATACCACTGGCTGCAAACGCAGAGGACCCAGGTTTAGTTCCCAGTGCCCACATGGCAGGTAACAACCATCCTTAACTCCAATTCCAAGGGATTCAATGCCCTTTTCTAGCCTCCACAGGCACTGCACAGATATGGTACTTTACATACATGCAGGCAACACATTCATCATACACTTAAAAAAACTTTAGAATAGTTTGCCAAGTATACCATTTATTTCTTAAAGGGAATTAGTATGTGTGCATGCAAATATAACTGTACACGTACATGGACTTCCCATTTTATCTATCTTTTAAAAGAAATGAGGGCACAGGGCAGGGGTTAGGATTTCACTGTGAAAATATCCCCAGCATGATCATGTTTGAACACTTGGTTCCCAGCTGCTGGTCATGCTGTTTTTAGAGGTTGTGAAGTATTTTGAACAAAGGGCCTAGGTAGCAAATGTCAACCAGGCCAACTTTTTATATCTTTAGGACTCCTGTGCAAGACAAGACTGGGGAAATATCCTAGACAAACAAGGGTACAGCTCATTTCATTTGTACTAGTACATAAAAGCACCAGCTTTCATTCTTAGTAGCTATGAAAGTAACGGAAATATAACCACTGTCAGAATACATTTTGACTTGCAGACTAAAAAATACTTCTTCAAAAGACTATGAATGAGGGGCTGAAGAAATGACTCGTTGGTTAAGAGCAATTGCTGCTCTTAAAGAGGACCTGAGTTCAGTTCCCAGTACTCAAATAGTGGCCCACAATCATCTGTAACTCCAAGTCATCTGATGCCTTCCTTCTAACTTCTGCAGGCACCAGGCATGCAAGTGGTACACATGCAGGCAAAATACTCCACATAAAACTTAAATAGCCGGGTGTGGTGGCGCACACCTGTAGTCTCAGCACTTGGGAGGCAGAGGCAGGTGGATCTCTGTGAGTTCAAGGCCAGCCTGGTCTACATAGTGAGTTCTAGGACAACTGGGGCTACAGGGAGACCCTGCTTCAAAAAAAAAAAAAAAAAAAAAAAAAACCTTAAAAAACAAACAAACAAACAAACAAAAAACCTTAAAAAAATAAAAATTTATAAAAAAAATACACGAAGGGACTAGAGAGATGGCACAGAGCTAGTTAAGAGAACTGATTGTTCTGAGAAGACCTGGGCTTGGTTCCCAGCACTCACATGATACTTAATAGCACCCACAACTTCATTTCCAGGGGATCTGTGACATACTCTTCTGGCCTACAAGAGCACTGTATGACACTGGTGCACTTACACACAGGCAAAAAAACTCATACACTTTTTTTTTTTTTTTTTTTAAGTGTATGAATGAGGGACTAGAGAGATGGCTCAGCAGTTAGAGAATGGGTTCCATTCCTAGCATCCACATGCCAGCTAACAACTGTCAGCACCTCCAGTTCCAGGGGATCCAACACCCTCTTCTGACCTCCGCGGGCATTGTATGACACAGGTGCACTTATACATGCAGGCAATGCACTCATAAACATAAAATAAAAATAATAAAATATTAGCTGGGTGTGGTGGCGCCTGTAGTTCCAGCACTTGGGAGGCAGAGACAGGTGGATCTCTGTGAGTTCAAAGCCAGCCTGGTCTACATAATGAGTTCCAGGACAGCTGGGGCTACAGGGAGACCTTGCTTCAAAAAGACAAAAAAAATAAAATGAAATAAAATACTGTTTTAAGAGTGTATAAATATAAGTCCAATGTGGTGGTACATGTCTTGGTCCCAGCACTGCGGAGAAGCAGGCAGATCTCTGTGAGATCAAGGCCAGCCCAGTCAACATAGTGAATTCCAGGCCAGCTGTGGCTACAAGGAGACCCTGTCTCAAAAAGACCAAAAAAATGTGTGAATAAAGCATACCATCAAACCAATCAATGGCTGCCTTAGCTGATGGAGGGTCATCAAATGACACTGTTGCTTCCCCTTTTGGCTTCCCTGTATCTTTGTCTGTGTAAAGATTTATCATTGGTTTTCCAGTCTTTTTGTTAGTCTAAGGAAAAAAACAAAAACAAGTTGGTGTCACATTTCAAGAGTCAATGATCATGCACTACTCAGGTAACGATTTTGTTTTAAAGACATTCACACAGTCATAGTTAAAACTATTATGCACAGCAAAAATGAAGTTAAAACTTTCCAAATTACAGTAAGTGAAAAACAAGCTATAAAAAGTTTATAAGGAACCAAGCAGGTGGTGTATACCTTTAATCACAGTGCTAGGGAGGCAGAGGAAGGTGAATTTGAGGCCAGCCTGATCTATATAATGAGTTTCAGGCCAGACAGAGCCACCAGTGAAACTCTATCTTCAAAAACACAAAAAGGCCGAGCATGGTAGCATACACCTTTAATTCCAGAACTTGTGAGGTGGAGGCAGGTGAATTTTCTGTGAGACAGAGGCCAGCCTGGTCGACAGTGAGTTCCAGGCCAGCTGGGGCTAGAGGGAGACCCTGTCTTTAAAAGAACTCACAAAAACCCAAGTAAGTAATAGTATAGTGTTTTGTGAATTTATTTAAACCCTCAAAAATCAAATGTAGACAACATTTCATAAAAATACATACACCATGCAAAACATTTAAACTTCAGGAAAAATTGTTCAAATAATCAATAGGCTATTATTAAGGAATACACCAGACTTTGTACTGTGTGGCCAAGCATGGTGGTTTACATCTGTAAAACCAGCATTCAGGAGGCTAAGGCAAGCAGACTGTTACAAGCTACCTGGGGGTACAACGAGAAACTCTATCTCAAAACAACAAAAAACAAAAGCTCAACTTTTTTTCATAAGCAATCTCTTAAAAACAGTAATTCCCCAAGAAGGAAAAAGATGAATAATTTCACAAATACCAAAAAAAAGGACAAATGCAATATAACATCAAACAAGTATCATTTTATCTACTTAACCTTGCTGTAAAGGTTATCTTCTAGTTAGAGATGAAAAGTATACACATGAAATTAAGTGATAACTAAGTGAACAATAAATAATTACAAGTTAATACATAATGGACTAATGCAGTACAGATGTTTACATAAAAAAAGAAATTGTAACTACTTTAGTCTGTATATACTGCCATTTCAGAATCCAGGACATGCTAAAGCATAGGTAGAAAGATAAACATGAATAAGGAATAAACTTTGTATATTTAGTAAATTTAACAAGGGCGTACAGACATAGGTGAGCATGTGCATTACAGGACTTCAAAATAACTCTTACTAGAATACAGAGACTATGTAATGTATGTATCTTAACTAAGATGTTAACAATTATGAAATCTTCAACATAAGATACTTTTTACTCACCTTAATAATTCCTATTTGCTTAAAGAACTCTCCCACTTGATCTGTAGACACACCCTCCCCAAGTCCTTGCACAAAGATTGTGTTGTTATCTGAATTATCAGACTCTGAATCAGCATCTGGTCTCGGTCCATAATCCCTGTGGCCACCAAAATTTTTGAAGCCACCGCAGTCACCACCACTTGATCCTGTCATAGGACCTCTTCCATCCTTGTCATATCCCCCACGCCCTCTACCTCCTCCCTTCAAGAATTTCTTAAGCCCAAAGTGAAAGAACCAATATGTAATCTTATACAAAGATGCAAAGTATTCACAGTAGTTGAATAGAAGCTCCAATTCTTGCAATAAAACTTCAGGTAAAGCGCAAGTCCACACTGTGAAATATATATAGACCAATTAAGGGCGATCTAAAACAATCTTACTCTTCAGATATAGGACTAAAGCTCATGAAGAGATGAGGAAAATTAACTGTAGTTCATGAAGAAAATACTCTTTATGATTAAACAATACTTTTTTTTTTTTTGGTCTTTCTGAGACAGGGTCTCCCTATAGCCCCAGCTGGCTGTCCTGGAACTCACTATGTAGACCAGGCTGTCTTTGAACGCAGAGACCCGCCTGCCTCTGCCTCCCAAGTGCTGGGATTAAAGGCATGCGCCACCACACCTAAAAGGCTTTCTAATACAAAATTTCCCCAAATTGGACACTAAACTCTCAAGCCAGCCAGCCAAGCAGAATTGCTGGTTTCCTATTCACTGCAAAAAGCCTTGTATATATCAGAGGGTAGGTAGGAGCACCTTGTACACACACCTTACCTTACATGCACACTTTTGGATTAGTACAACAAAGTAAGAAAGATGTACAAAAATTCAGTCCATCAAGGGATAATTCAGAAATTGCCATCCATATAGAATACTTTGGCATCTTAATAAAAACAAAAGTTCTGATTTCAATTTATATTAAATTTTTGGTTCAAATAGATTTTAACCTCTAAACCATAACTTTGAAAAGGCTCCATGAGTAAAGCTATAGCTTTGACTTTCATTTGAAAATAAAGACACATAAAATTAGTGACTTCTACCCACAGAAAAACAATTCTCTTATATATGAACTCAGGTGGGGTTTTTTTGGGGGGCCTTTTTTTTTTTTTTTTGAGACAGGGTCTCTCTGTAAGCCCCAGCTGTTCTGGAACTCATTATGTAGACCAGGCTGGCCTTGAACTCACAGAGATCCACCTGCCTCTGCCTCTTGAGTGCTGGGACTAAAGGCGTGTGCCACCACGCCTGGTGAACTCAGGTTTCTTAATGCCCACTAACACTACCAATCCAATGCAGAAATTTCTTTTTATCTCTATGTTGCTGAGATCGCAGTTTTTTTCATTAAATTGGACTGTATTAATGCATTAATGTGATTGTATTAATTAAGGCATTAATGTGATTTCCCCAGCAAGATTTCTCATCAATCCTCTTGAATTTTTTTTTTTCCTGGCATTTCTTAAGAAATCAAACTTCCCATGGGGTTGGAGAGATGGCTCAGCGGTTAAGAACACTGGTTGTTCTTGTAGAAGACCCAGGTTCGAATCCCAGCACCCACATGGCAGCTAACAACTGTCCGCAACTCCAGTTCCAGGGGATCAGACCACCTCTTCTGACCTCTGTGGGCACTGCATGACATGGGCGCACTCACCTACATGCAGGAAATACACGCACACACATAAAATAAAAAAAAATAATAAATAAAATTAAAAAATAATAAATTATTAAAAAAAAAAAGAAATCAAACTTCCCAGATCTGGAAGCATTATTAAATTAAATCTCCCTCCAGTATTTATCCCTTCAAACACACATTTTCCTCTTCAAGAGGTGGGAAATTAACATTCTGTAATTGCAAAATAACAAATTATCATGACTCTTACCAGCGTCTGGTCTCGGTCCATAATCCCTGTGGCCTAAGGGAAAAGAAAAAAATTGTTTAAGGCAACTCATTTGAAATTGAAAAGAAAATGGTAATAACCAAGGCATGAAAAGTCAATATATCCAAAATCCTTGAAAGTCAACCATCACAGGTTTACAAAATAACTACATTAATTTTTATTGAAAGTTTAAGAAATCAAGATGAATATCAACATTTCCTTAAACTTGTCCAAGATGGCAGCCGCCACTTCGTCATTAAGCTAGTATCACTTTTGTTAAGCTCTGGTTATAAAGGCTGATTGGAAACCCCTAATAATTTTAAAACACCATGTCAGCTAGCTACCTTTATAAAAGAAAAAACCATATTGTCAAAACCCAGTGAAGTTCTCATTCATTGGTCACCACAGACTCTTTCATGCAAATACTCTGTGTAGAAAACCCAATGGACTATTTGAGATCAGTTTTGGCTTTTTAAATTTTTACTGTTACACAGATGAAGTTTTTTGTTTTTTTTTAAAGTACACAACATACCAGCCTCAACAAAGTAAGAAAAGGATTAGACTACGTTTGCGGGATATTGGTGGCTTTTAGATTTATATAGCATTTCCACTGAAACATTTTGGGATACTCAGCACTTACCACCAAAATTTTTGAAGCCACCGCGGTCACCACCACTGCAGAGGAAAAATTGAAGAAATGATTTCTTCCTTAAGTCTCTAACGTGCTGAGCCCTGGGCTCAATCTACACTTAACTGTCACAAGTAGAGTGCCTAGGAAAACAGTAGCACTGCTAACTTTCCAGTAAATTCCATTTCAGAGCTCAATGTTTCAAACTAAGATTTTTTTCCCCCAAGGATCTACTTCTACAAGATGTCTTTCCACATTTATAACATAATATACTTTTATTTTAAAATCTTCCCAATCCCAAAACAAGAGGTTACTATTCAAATTGTAACTTAAAGCTGGAGGTACAGCATGAAGAATGTGAAATTAGAGCACATATTCTTCCCAAAGGGGTACTTTTTAAATACAAGAAAAAGCAAAAAAGACCAGAATATAAAGTCAAGACTGTAATATAGCAGAACAGTAGAGATAAAACTCGAGTGCTAGTTCTGCTGTGATACCAAATTGTGGGTTTTATGAGATGAATTTAAAAAAAAAGTGATGTACAAATTTATACAAATGAGCCTGAAAGTACCTTAAAATTTAAAATTATTCAGATACCTGATAAAACAAGGACTAAAAAAGCCTAACTCAAAATTGCCCTTCTCCATTATCCATTGTAATATATGATTTCTTCCTATCATAGCTACCAAGGTTCATGGTGTCAAATGCTCTATCAAATCAACAGCATTATGTTAAAGACAGACAACATTATCCAATGTCGCAACTGCCCAAAGAATGACTTTATTTGGCAAATTTCCACTGTCAGTAAATCAATGGTTCTTGTACACACAGCTTTATTTAAGAGATCTAAATACTAATCATACTAATAAAAAATTCGTATGCAGCTCATACTAATAAAAAAAACCTTCAGTATTCATCCCATGAAAGCCTATTTCTCTTATCTGACTTACAAAATCCTCCTAAAATATAGCTGCTAATATGGAAACAACACAGCTTTCAAATGATCATATCTGATCTACTGTTAATCTTGTAGATAAAAATCCAAGAAGCTAATTTAATATACTGTCACTGCTTATAAACCTCTGCTTTTTTTAATAGTCAACTCTATAGATGGCTTTTCAGAATCATTCAGTATAAACTGCTGACTAAATGGGAAAGCTTTCTCCTTTTATACTTTATTTCCCTGATAACAAAGTATGTTGCCTTGTAATCCACTTAGGTACAGATGTATGTATTTTAATTTGCTTTTAAATTTAGAATTCCCAGGAAGCCTTTTAAGCAGATTATGGCCAGGTCAAAGTTCTGTAGACAATATTAAACTAAGGTCCTTTGTATATGCAGCTTGGTATTGAGTCTCTAAAGACTACTATATATCAGCACAGTACCTAAACCTTCCCTATATTTTAAATGACATATCACTGCTATTTCTGTAAGAAAGGTAATTTCATTTTTTTGTTTTCAGTTTCTTGAGACAGGGTATCAACACTAGCCTTGAACTCAATCTAATCTATAGAAGAGAATGACCTTGAACTCCTGATCCTTCTGCTTCTACCTCTCAAGTGCTAGGATTACAAGCATTTGCTATGAGTAGCCCAACAGAGCTCTTGAGATTAAACTACTGAAAAAAAAATTTCCCCTTCCTTTCCCAGTGCTGGAGACTGACTCCAGGGTTATGTCATGCTTTCTAGGCAAGTGGTCTACTACAAAGTTATACTCTATGCCCTTTGAAAATTGTATTAGAAACCAAGGTACCTCAGGTTCCTTCAAAGATCAACCTCAGAACTCCAATCACAAACAAAAAGAATTGGGAAAATATTAAGACCACATTCTTCTTGTTATACTGTTTGATTCTTTTCTTGTATGTGTTATATACATGTTTGAGCATATGTGTTTGCAGCAGCGTGATCCAGATATATATGCAGTTATGTATATGTGATCAAGTGTCTTCCTACTACTCTCCACCTTATCTTTTACGAAAGGGCTTCTCACTGAACATGAAGCTCACTAATGAGGTGGACTTGCAGGAGAGTGAGCCCTTGGGATACTCCTGTCCTTTCTTCCCAGCGCTGGAATTACAGGCACATGCCATTCTGCCCATGAGCCCATATTTTTAGGTTAAAGTCTTCAGGATAAAGAGTTTTACAATAAGGAATACGAAGCTATATATTCATAAGCAAGTTCTTGAAAATGTACCTCTTAACTACATTGCATCAGTGAAATGAAATATCAAGCAGCTGATATGGCTCATAATGAAAGGAAAATCTGCAATTTTATATATAAACTAAACATTCTATTTTCCATTCTGGTGAATATGACTTGAAAAGTTTTTTTAATGATACACATCTCCAAAAAGAAAATACAAAATTAAAATGGTTCTCTTTCCTCCTTTATCAAGTAAGGTTCTGCATTCTTCCTTATGAGTAAACATAAGCACTGCAGCTTAAGAAGAGCCTCAGAGCTTCTCAGAAAAGGATCTCAGTCTCCATCCACACATAATAATAATTTGAAATGTAATAAAATCCCTAGGTAATTCGTATGTATATTAGCCTGAGAAGTACTGGTCTAAATGATGTAGAACTTTCAAATGTTTCAATGATTTTTGTCTCTCCTTAGTAAGGAATTATATATTAATTCCATTTATCAGGAAATGTATTAAATATAGTAAAATAAGCTTCAAGTAGTATTTACTAATAGTAACA